ACCACTCAGCTGACAAGGCCTTATTCTTGCCATGAGATCCACCGGGTTTGGCTGAAGTAAGTGGTGAGTTTAGGTCTTGCAGCCTATTCCTCTTCCACAGGTTTCCATGATCCAGCTTACCTACCTTTGTGGCATTTAGAGCCTCCACAATCTTGTTGCAGGTAACAGAAAGTGACTTGGAGCATATAGCTGAAGAATTGAAAATTTGAGTTCTTTATAAGATGGCCTTCCTGTTCACCTACTCTCTCCTGCCCTGTTTTGGACAACTTGCCTTTATCTCAAGAGATTTGCATGAGACATGTGCTGGGCTTAAACTTGCCCAGTCTTTTATGACTGCCTCAAGTTCTGAATATCATCCCATCCATCAAATGCAATCAATGGCATTATCTTCTCAAAAATTATCTTTTCTGCTGGCACGTCCTTTCGCTCTAGGCTAGGGAGTGGTGCGGTGGCTATAGGTGAAGTTCTTGCCTCACAATCAGGAGGCTGTGAGTTTGATCCTAGGTAGAGGCAGATATTTCTCTCCCTGGACACAATGAGAATATATCTGCTGAATAAAATTCCGCATTGGTGACAGGAAGGGCACCCGGCCATTAAACACTCTGCTAGCTCCATTCAGTTGCCCAGACTCCACCCTGCAAGGGATTATGGGGTCATTAAAAGATGATGATGGTGTCCTTTCGCTCTAGGACTGTGGCATGTTTAGGCTCCACGTAGTCTTGTTGCTTTTGCAGTTCCCTTTTGCCTTCCATTAAATAAACCATGTTGATTCTTCCTAAATAAGTGTAGATTTATTTTTCCCTTATTTCCTCAAAGTTATTAGTCAAATAGTTGAGAAATCCCCCTTTTAAGGAGTTATTTGTTATTTGGACTTGAGATTCCCATGTTTTTGAACATGCAGTGATGTAATCGGATATGCACCCTCATTACCCACCACTTTAGCCATCTTGAAAGGTTCAGTGGAAATTTGTCACATAGAAAAACCAGATTGCACTTTACATAGCATTTGTGTTTCTTATGTTTATGATGATTGCTGAAATGTGAATGCTTAGAAAGCAAACGCTGAGCATGACCATCTTGGCGCCGTAGTGAATAAACACCACACAATCCTAAGATGCACATCATGTTTTATTTCCCATAGCAAACCGCTTCAGTAAAGGGAGTCTGTCTAAAAGTGTTAATAGGCCCTAAAATATACAAGTCTGGCTTAGATATTATTCATTTAGGACATGAATTGGTAAGACACCTGATGAATTTTCTGGATTTGATGCAGTGGTGGGATTCGAATAAATTAACAACCGGCTTTCTGCCCTAATGGTTTCTTCCAACAACCAGTTCACCAAACTGCTCAGAAAGTTTACAATCAGTTCTCCCGAAGTGGTGTGAGCTGGCTGAATCCCACGACGGATTTAATGTAACATAAAAGGAAAACAATCTCAGCGCTCACAAATTACGAAAAGATTATAGTTGGTATAATAGTAAAACTCATTTCTTTTTGCCTTTATTTCACCTAGTTTTGTGATAATACAGTACACACTTTCCTATTACTATTTTAGATAAGATTATTCAAATCTTGTTTCTATACAAGGGAAAACAAAATATTCCTAATTGTCAGGTGTAAGGTGGATGAGATTTAGGAGTCTGTATATTTTTGTATATATATGTGTCAAATCTGTAGTGATCACATTGAAAAGCAGAAGCAAATGTTGAAATATACATCATGTTAACACTTAACTACAGTTCAGCTGCACAATCTAGATGGCTGAATTAGGTCTTGCTATACAGTGTGGATTGCAACTTATTTATAAGCTGTGGAATTCAGCTTAAGACTGTTCTGCTTTGAAATATGTAGCAGGTTTAATTAGTGTGTCCTAAGGAATGCACTTGTTCCAAGAAACTGTATTTGCATTTTCTTCATTAAAATGCTTTGACACTCTTGCTTGACACTTTGTGGTTTCTTTAAGACAGAATAGACTAGATGGAAGTTAAACCTCTGCCCCAAAGAATCCCTTTCAGTAGATTTAACTGGCCATTGATACCCTCTTCCTCCACACAATTAAACCATTCCACCCCAATTCTCAAGCTGCTCTTTAAATATGTGTGTCCATTTATATAAATACAAAATGTCCTTCTAGCCATGGCAGAAATCTATCTTAACTATTTTTAAATAGCTTTGGCTTTGTCACATTACTTTTATCCACTTATTCCCAGCCCATGGTGGAGGCAGCTTAAAATGAGTCAAAAACTGTTCCAGTTTTAAAATGTTGCAATCTGCCTTCTCTTGCCACTACTTTTTGTTATGGACACTATCTAGGCCAGTGTTTCTCAACCTTGGCAACTTGAAGATGTCCGGACTTCAACTCCCAGAATTCCCCAGCCAGGCTGGGGAATTCTGGGAGTTGAAGTCCGGACATCTTCAAGTTGCCNGTCTTCCTAAGGTCTCTCTAAGTTTGTTGGTCATGACTTTTTGATATCTACACACACAGCTTCAGTTGCCTCTGCTGCTATCCTGCTGTGGGGAAACAATTTGACTTCAATGGCATTAATAGAATAGTCACCAACTGTTAGGAGTTGCTTTTTTATTTACTTGGCAGGTGATTTTCAGGGACATTTCCTTTTGCAATACTCTCCAATTGCAGAAGCCTAAGAGAATAGCCAAGTGGAGGTTTAGCATTTCAGGGCAGGCAAGGCCTATACAGTCCCGCTTCTTTCATTACTAAAATTTTCTTTTGTTCTTTGGTGCAGTTATAACACCAATATGCATTTTTCTCTGTCGTAGATTCTGTCTGTTAACCATCTAGAAACAAGCTTGTAAGAAAGTCCTTCGTAAGTCTCTGGTAAAACCTCTCAGATTTTTCCAAAAGTTTTGAAAATTGAGCAATCTAATACAATGGGTGTGGATACAAGTGGGGACTTAAGTATCTTCTTGTGTAATTTTATTTCATTAATTTCTGTGGGACTGAGGCACACCTATTTTGCAGAGGGTTGTGTGTACTGCATATGCATATTTTGAGCATTGGCAATCTTTAGGAATGAGATGGGTGTGTTTTATTTTGTTAAGATTTACTCCCACAAGTCTTGGAAAACTATGTGGGATAAATTATCTTTCTGAGATAGTGGTTTCCAAAAGATAAATATACAAAAATATTGTAATAGGAATTACAATACACATTTCATTTTGCTGGTCTTCATTGGTGCTATGGAAGGGCGTTTGTATGGGTAATGTTTCTTGAAACAACTATTCTTACGGGTTATTCTTGACTCCCAGTGGGAAAATTTGCAGCAAAAAATTGTGATGTTCTAATTTTGATTTTGACACTTGTACCTCCTGCCAACATTAGTGCTATTGCTAGCCTGTTCTGCTTATAAAACCTTCCTTATTCTGAAGATTTGGGTTGGCAATACATAAAGACTTAATTCTATCTATTCTCTCTAGACCACTTTTTGATCTAAAGTTTTGAGGCCTAGATTCTGTTGGTCTGCAGGAATAGGAATTCTTTATTTTGGGAATGCTTTTCTGTGATATTTGAATGTGGAACTTGNTCATGGTGGGCGGTAGAGGTTATGTCCGATACTGAAGCACTTTCCTTTTTTAAAATTTAATTGACTTTTTTAAAAAAAATTCATAGCATTATTTAAAAACATTTTCATTAGGTTTTCATAAAATCACCATTACTGTGGTGGGCGGTTAGAACATTTTACTACTAACAGAGATACAAAAGTGGGCGGTAGGTATAAAAAGGTTGACTACCCCTGCTCTAACTAATCATCTTTTCCTTGGTGATACTGTGGTTTTGTGAAGGCCTTCTAGGGAGAAAATTGCATGCAAGAGTTTGCAGTTCATAAATGATTCACAGTCTGAAAAATTCATGGTTAGTTGGAGTTTAAATGGATGAATAGGTCATTTTGGAAATGAGATGGATAGATTTACATGGATGAAATATTGGATGAAAAATTGTGTTTTGAAAGGAAGGTAGGAATTGAATATTAAGTGGTTAAAAACTAGGGATAAAAGGAGAAAGAGCAAGTAAATTGAAACAAATCCCCATGAATGGGCTTTTAAGTGTGATTGATTATAGTGGGAGATGTAAGTATATACTTCAACATTATGAAGAGACATTAATGCCACTTAAAACCACTTCAGCCAGATTATACTTTATATTAAATGTAAGTCTGTGATTACACAATCAGTAGGTGAAATGGGTTGCGTGCAGCAAGAGTGGACTCTAGTCTCATTAGTGCTGCAACTTTAAAATTCTAGAAAATAAGAGAAAATTGATATATATAATATAAAAACACATATTTTTCATATATTGATGTAATTAAAATAATTGTATTTTGCTATAAACACAAAGTGGATTTACATGAAGAATATTATAAACAACATAAATAATGTACACAGATACAATAATATATAACTGAAACTACGTGTACATAAATTATATATCTGAAGTGAAACCAACGAATCTATATATCTCCAGAGAGGCAAATATATGAACTACATGAATCAGGATAAATAAGAGAACAGAAAAATTCTCCATGTCATAAGTGACCTAATATTCCTACTGCTTGCAATATAGACCAAGTACTGTAATATTCCATATAATTGAAATCCAAATTGACATAGAATATGTATTTTCTTTCTGGCAAAATCTGAATTATTTCACTGAAATCCAGTCAGTCATATTTGGTAATCAAGATAATTGTTTTACATTTAATGACTTCCCTGTTGGATATCCTTCAGAACCCGGTATGTACAATGTAATTCCAATATTAGAAGATGTTGCTTTTCAAAGCTGTTCCTCACACTGAGCTCAAAGATTATCAACCAGTCCTCGAGCCACAGGAAACTATATTGGCATAAAAATGGCCAGCCTTTGAAAAGCCTCAGGCCCCAGTTTCCCAGCCCCACCTAAAGAAACTGAGATCCCAGGCTCAGCTTCAGAAAGGAAAAATAAGATATAAATTTAGGGACTTGCATTGCACCCGCCTTTACTGCTAATGTTTGTTGAAAGTCCACAGGTTAAATATTGTGTATGTCACTATGTTATGAGATACTTCAAATATGCCACAACTGTCAAGGCCCTGCCAGGGTAGGAAGTGCCAAACAACCCAAGATGGGAGCCACAACTTCATGATCAAAGCCTTTCCCCCATTTTTTAACATATTTACAAAGTGGGACGGCTTCAATCATAGAACATAGAACAGTGTTTCTCAACCTTGGCTACTTGAAGATGTCTGGACTTCAACTCCCATTCGCTGGCTGGGGAATTCTGGGAGTTGAAGTCCAGACATCTTCAAGTAGCCAAGGTTGAGAAACACTGACATAGAATAAAGGTTGGAAAAGACCTTGTAGTCAAAACCCCGGCTCAAGCAGATGGGTCTATAGATTCCTCAGTCTGTCCCCCCACTCTCTTTTTGAAGATTGTAACCACATCCGCTCTTTTTTCAGTCTTCTGGTAGTTCTCCAGTGCTCCAGATACTTTGAAGGTTTTCGTTCAGTGGTTCTGAGATCATGTCTGCCAGCTCCTTTAGGGGAGATGTAATCCATCTGGCCCTGGCAATATGAACTCATCTAGAGTGAATAAGTGCTTTCTTTATCACTTTCTTGCTTATTTTAACTTTCATTCCTATTCTGTCGTTTGCTTTTGATAAGTTAGACTATTTTTTTTCTTTTTGTGTTTTCTTCCTGCTACTTGGCACCTCCTTGCCAATTCTCCCATTAGTGGACCGAACCTTTTCTTGATCTTTTTCTTGTGTTTTGCATGTTGAAACCAACTTTTAAAATTAAAATTTAAAATTATTTTGTTGCATTGCTTGCAACTCTTAATTCATTATGAGCCTTAGCTTTCCTGACATCACCCTTGCAGATTCGAGCTATTTGCTTATATTCTGTTTTAGTTATGTGTCCCTCTTTCCATTTCTTATACTTGTCCTTTTTGTCTCTCTTTTTACTAGGGAGTTTTTTCATGCAACCATGCTGGTTTCATCTTGTTTTTGTTTCTCAATAGTATTATATTAGACTGAACTTTTATA